AATAGAGATGAAAATTACATCTAATAAGCTTCGATTTCCTCTCGAATGACCTTTAAAAAACTTCGATTTCCTCTCCAATTACGTCTAAAAAACTTCGATTTTCTTTCTAAAGAGATGAAAAGTGTCGATGGCGATTAGGTTTTGGGAGAGAGAATATTGAGAACGTTCTTTTGTTTCAGGGGTAAATTTGTCCTTCTCGGATAAAATCGTGGTATTTTTGTAAAGGGTCCAGCGCGTGTGACAGTTTTGCAAACTGTTGGCCCATTTGTGGCATTTTTGTGAATCCCCCACAAATAAATTACCTTTCCTCAATAGAATATTATAATATACCAAAATCTTTTGAGTTTGAATACACTTAGGTTTACATACCAAAATCTTTAAAGATTATAATATTTCACAAACTTTTGTGCTTTTTTCATATTCTCACAAAACAATTTAAAACTTCAACAATCTCTTCAATAAAAATTGTTTCGGCTTTTTCATCAAGAAACCAATGATTTCTATATTTTGGTAATAAAATGTTATTATTTACAATATAGATATTATCACTGATACGAGGTGGTCTAATTTATTTCTCTTTTTTACGGATAACAAAATATTGATAAAGTAAAATTATCTTATTTTGCAAAAATTGATTCGTCCATGTTATATTAATCTTAGCCGGTCATGTTTGAGTTAACTGATCAGTTATATACAAGTGTAAAAGAATTCGTTCAACTAAACTTAGCCACATATCAAAATAATTATCTATCTAAAAATAATATCTTTATTTATAAAATAGTAAAAAATAAACTTAATTTAGATAGGATTAGAACATCTAATTATTTGAAAAATATGTGATGTAATTTAATTGAAAATCAATTAATATCAAAATATAATAGATAAGTATTATATAAATTTCTCTATAAGTGGTTTTGTATTAACATCCTCAATCTTATTTTTATTATTTCATGGAGGGATTTATTTTTTGTCTATTTTCATGGAAAGATCTAATATTGCCTTTTGTTTTTGGCCAGTTATAAATTTTGCCTTCTCAATCAGTTATTTTGAAAAAATATTTTTTATTTTTACTTTATTTTTATTAATAAGTGATCAAATTTTATTTTCCATTGTTAATAATTTCCACAATTATATAAAATTTTAAATTACAAACCCGCATGAACTCGGAAGGTAACACTCTTCGTTTTTTGGGGTCGGATATCAAAACATTGGTTTTAATCGAGGTTTTCTTACTCTTTTTTCGACAACGTTTGTTGCTTTAATTACGAAAACAAAATTGATAATTACAAAACTAAAATAAAGGAGGTT